AGTCAAAGGCTGTGGGTTGTTAAGTCCAAAATCTTTGTTTTCCTCACCTACCTGCCACCTGTTGTGGTTAAGAGCCAAAGCTGCTTGTAGTAGCTTTCAGCTTCCTGTCTCCCAGTAGAGGGTGGGATAGACTGGTCAATGCTGACAGCCCCTTATAGTGGGGCTGGTGCAGAGTTCTAAATTGCTGAGGTTTGCTCTTGGGTAACCCTTGGAACTTTGTTAGTGGGTATTTGAGATTAGTTCACACACCCTATTGATGGAGAGATGCCAATTTCTGCTGGACATTTAGGGCACCAGCACAAAAGGAGCTCTTTCTCCTGTGTCTGGAGTCTGTATGTACTAGGCCCAATTTTCTTTGTGCCTATTTCTGTCACACTGGTCCAGGAAGACTCTGGAGTTCATAATAGGTGGGCAGCTGGCAACTTCCTTCATGAATTCCCAGTCTCTTGCCTCTGCTTGTGGCTGTGTATCACTTATAGATGGTTCCCATGCTGATGAACCCATTTCCTTCTGAAATGTTGGCTAAGAAATTTTGGTTGTTTTTCACTTAACATCTTTCCCCACTGACTCTGGGTTCATTAAGATCAACCTCCTTCTGTATTCTACAGATTACCCCAATCCATGTTTGTTGTTGTTCTGCTACACATTCCTCTCTACCTGTGTTCTACCTCCCCTGCCATGCTAAGGCCTGCCAAGCTGGCACATCTCTAATGTATTTTTTTCTTATGTTTACACTTTCCAATTTTCTGCATCTCTATGGTTTCTTTTACTCTCCAGTGTTGAATTTCAGTGAGTTACCTTAGTTACTCCCCTCACTGAGAAGCAGTCTTACTGCTTTTGAAGTCTGGTGCTATGGTACTGCTGGGAAGTGCACTCTTCCTCTAATCCCCCATCATCTGAGACCCTTACTTCCTTCTCCTTGAACTTTTGAAGATGCAGTTACATTATCATGTAACTTTGAAGACTGTTCTGAATCTGAACCTTCATACCTCTTCATTTGTATGTTTTATATTTTTCCCATGAACAATTTTGAGATCTTTCTCAGAATATGCAAATTTCATCTAATTTTCACATCATCAGATGATGAGCTTTGATGTGGATCTCTCACCACTGAGCCTGCTATTGGTGAGTCAAGAAACCCATTTTGTTTTTGTCAGTTGCAGCTATTTTCTTGAATTAGGTTTCTGTTAATTTCCTTTTCTAAGATATTTTTGTTCTTCCTGGCAATATACTTATTCTGAAGTTTGAATCCTCAACTAAACTGCATTTCTTTTCTCCTATTTTTCTCTTTGTATTTTGTTAAATTTTTCTTGGGTATATACTCATCTTTTCATTCACGTTTTTTATTGATCTTTGTTTTTGGCCTTGATTTTTATTTTGCAAGAGCTCGTTGTCATGTTTCTGTCATGTTTGCCAAAAAATCATCTGCAGAAGTTGGGTAGGAAGAATTGTTTAGAGGTAGGATGTGGAGGAGAGGAAGGGACTGCTTCTGAATCATTCATAATTCTGTTTTTAGCTCCAATTTCAATGACATTTTGAATTACCTAGTTCTACTAATTCCATAGCCTTTCTGGAGTTCTAGGGTTTCTGTAGTACAAATCCAGTTGCAATGTTCAAAGTTTCATATCATTTCTCTCATTGGTTTTGTGCTTTTATCATTTTCCTCTTTTTATTTTTATAAATTCTTTAACTGTTTTACAGGTGTTTTAGAATGGAACACTGGTGAATACATGCATTCTTTAAAGACCTTAATGATGATTTCCTTCCCCAGTCTTATTCCACTCAAATTTACTTTCACATATCTACTCTCAGAGTAGTCTAAGAAATGATAATTGTTCTCATCTGTTCATTCTGATTGGCCAATGTAAATTTTGGTGTTTTACATAGATTATCATGTATAATCTAACCCCTGCTTTTTTTCAACCTTACCTCTTGTTTGCAGCATTTCTTTTAGAGAAGTATTTATGGTTGTTCAAAAACCCAATATTCTTTCCTCTTCCATATTTTTGGATGAACAGTTTCTTCTCCTGGAGTACCCCACCTCTTCATTATCTGCCTTACAGTGGTTCCTGTATTAAGATGTAATTTAACAGCTATCTCTTCTTTTAAACCTTCCTTAACTCATCATTCTAGTAGTTGTTTATCATCTTCTTTGTATCCATACTATTTATTATATTACCAGCATTTATCATACAGTATTGCAGTTACTTATTTATATGTCTGATTCCTGGAATTTGAGTTTCTACATAGAGATTATGCCCTAATGATTTCTGTGTTTTCAGGATTTAGCTATGCTTTGCATTGGCTTGGTGTTCAATATGCATTTTCTATTCATTTGTGTTGTGATTTGTACACAGTACACTATATTCAGCTTTTGATGGAGAAAGAGATACAAAGTTGAGAGATGTGTCCATGAATATCTTTCAGTGTTATTAAATATTCTACATTTTAATGGCTGGTAAATATTTCATTTTACATATATGCTAACCTATTGATGTTTCCAAATGTTTTCTTTTTTCAAATTGTTCTACAGTAAACCTAGATGTAGGTAAGGTTTAAGGCACATCAGTGATTACTGGACATAAATATAATAATTAGAAGTTAAAAAACTAAGTCAGGAGTAATGTCTGCTTTAAAAACTTTTGATTTATATTTTCTTTCAGGTCAGTTGCACTGATTTATATTTTCAACAGCAATTCATTATTAGTGTACTCACTCCTTCCAGTACTTCTGTAATCACTACCATCACCAGAAATCATCATCATTCCTTGCCAAAATTTATAGTGAAAATAATATTTCTCTGGTTTAATTTGCATCATTCTGGTTACTAATATTTTTAATGCTTAAAATGTTTATAAACATATTGAGTATCATCTTATAGATTGATCACTTGTATCTTATGACCATTTTTCTGTTAATCTGTTTTTTTCTCCTACTGCCCCAATTATTTTTCTAGGAGAAGGAGATATACTATAACAATATTTATAAGAGTGCAGTGTTTACTTTGACAGTGAATTTAATGTTATATGGTAATATTTATATGTATAACTTAAAAAGTAGTAATTACATTAGAAAGCTGTGTTTGGTCTTAGTGATGAAATTTCTATTTTTATAATCTTCTATACAAATGTTTGAATTGTTACCAAAAATATTTGCAAGTAGGCTAAGTTGAAGAAAACATCTGTCCCCAAATCAGAATGAGACTGGCTGCAACAATTTCACCAGTATCTTTTATGGGGAACAAATCACTTTTAGAAAATATTTTTAAGCACGCAAATATATAATTTTAACCATTAGCCACTAAATTAAGTCTTTAGTGTATACACACCACACAATCCAATTTTAGAATGTTTCCATTATCCCTCAAATTTTATTTTGCCCACTTGTAGTTATTCTCCATTCCTATCCCAAATCCTGGGCAATCCTAATCTACTTTCTGTCTTTATAGATTTGTTTTTGATGGAGATTTTATGGAAATAGAATAATATGTTGCCCTTTGTATCATACTTCTTATGCTTGCGATGTTTTTTACAAGGTTCATTCATGTTATAACACATATTAGTGCTTAATTTCTTTGTATTGCAGTGTAGCATTGTATTTTATTTACATATCACATCTTGTTTATTGTGAATAGAATTGTTTTCTTGTTTTCATATTTATCAATATAATTTTAAAAAATAATATCAAGGGCTGGGGTTGTGGCTCAGTGGTAGAGTGCTTGCCTAGCATGTGTGAGACATTGGATTCAATCCCCAGCACTACTTTAAAAAAAAAAAAAACTAAACAAAATAAAGGTATTGTGTCTATCTACAATAAAAATATTTTTTAAAGTAAAAAAAATAAAAATAATATCAAAATATGTATGACATATTCCCTCCTGCCACACACACAAATTTTGGCTACTGCTAGCATTTTACTTCTAATGTGATATATGATTTAATATACTGGAAAAAAAAGAATCACTGATGCTTATCATGGGACTAGAACTCTGGGCAATAATTACCTTAATGCATTTTTTTCACGTAAGGAATGAAAGTCTTTAAAAATTTTAAAGTATGTTAATATATAAATAGTCCTGGGAATTCAATTAGAAAACATGACAAAATATTTACAGTAAAGTTCTCTTAGTAACACTGACTTGTGATTCTTGACATTTTATTGATTTTCAAAATTGTTATAAATGTACTCCTTTACACTTAATATTTATCAATCAATCAGCAAATTAGTAAAATGTGCTTATGTTGACACTTATGTTCTTGAGTTAATAGTTTGTTGTAGTGCTCATTTGTGTTTCTGTCACATTAAAAAAGCTTAATTAGAGAAAAAAAATTGCACCATGCAATTAGTTATTACCAAAAAGGGGGGGGGGGTTACTTTGCTAGCCTCAACATAGCACTGTGTTTTTCTAGGCTTTTAGTAGAGAGCCATCATTTCAGTCACTTGTTGAAGTGTGATCTTGCAGAATGTTTATGTTATAAGATAGGATATGGTATTATACTTTAAATACTGAATAAACATTAGGGCTGTTCTGGTTGACTGGAATTTTTAAAGAAAGTATATTTAAGTTTTCATAAAATTTTTCTTTCTTTTGGGCACTAGTTATTGGTTATCCTCTAGTAAGCATTAATTAACACTAAAACAAATGACCAAATTGGTTGATGGTAGTACAAAAACTCAGATCATCATGCTTATTTCAACAGCTTATTTTTACTGGCAGAAAATTACACTTTTAGGCTGTAATTGGTAACTCGAACAAAACACAAATGTCAAGTAGACTGTTATTTGCCTTGAAAACTAGGAGAACAGATAACGAACAGTGTTGTCCACTGTTTTCATAGTTTTCAAAAAGTAGATGAATGTGTTTTTTCTTCTGTATTTTCTAAAACTATTTAAATTGATATGTAAAGTTTTGTAAATAATAGTTTAGGGGAGAATGTGTTATAATGTTTCTGTTATATTTTGAGCTTGGATTAATGATTGTGTGACTTCCTTCCTTATAGGCATGATGCAAAAGAAGGTGGAAGAGATAACAAAGATTTTTGAGGATTTTCAAAGCAAGGAGCAGGAACGCAATGTGAAGATTACCTTTGACTAAAGGCCATATCGTTAGCATACTGATTTTGGATTGTTTCCTATAAATTTTGATGATGTTGACGTGTTTACAGTTACTACTTAATCTTTCATTGCAATAAAATGTGCATGCTCTTTATGTGAATACTCTGATATGAAGAATTATACTATAATATTCTTCTCAGAATTAAATAAAACTTATATTATCCCCCTTATACAGGTAGCAACCTGTTAGATATTGATTCTGTATGTGTAATACATACCTTATTCTCCTAGAATTCACATACTTCCGCCAATGCACATCTTCCTTCTCTCTCCAACTAAAATGTGGAGAGATGTCTGCCCAAAAGTACATGCCAACCAATCTTTACTGTGTGCTAGTTAGATTCAGCATTAAGTATGATATACTGTAAAGTCTCTCTCTTCAATGGAACTTAATGTCTAGTTTGAGATAAGATTAGTTTCCATCTGTAAAATGAATGTAGACAATACAAGGAAGTATGTTATGCATTATAAATGTATGTTATTGAAATTCAGAGAAGGGCCAAGTGTATGGTGGCTTATGCCTATAATCCCAGTGACTCAGGAGGCTGAGGCAAGAGGCTCCTAAGTTGCCTTGGCAATTTAGCAAGACCCTGACTCAAAATAAAAATAACAAGGGCTTGGAGTATAGCTCAGTAGTAGAGTGTCCCTGGGTTAAAATAAAACTCCAGTACCACCACCACCAATGATAATAATAAAAAGAAAAATTCAGAGAAGGAAGGAATAGTTAGGGTGAATTTGTGGTTTCAGTTGGATTTTATGTTTTGTTGGGTGTGTGTGTGTGTCTGTGTGTGTGTGTGTGTGTGTGTGTGGTGTGGTACTGGGAATCCTACCCAGGTTCTCACACATGCTGGGCAAGTGCTTTACCAATGAACTATACCGCATATTTGAACTAGGTTATGTTTTAAAAGAGCAAGGTTCAGGCAATTTAATTATTGTTTTATTATACACATGTCCTGGTATTTATTTGATTTTAGCATATGATTTATAGTTATTGGTTTTTGTGTATTTCTTTATTTGCTTTTCAAGAAAATGCCATGTTCTTAGCTTTGGAACATTCTAATCTCTTGTATTTCACTTAAATCATAAATAAATGTGATGCTCTACTAAATGAAAACACAACACTAAAATAAAATTAACCACTTAAAAGTTTTTAAGTTACTGGAGCTCAGCTGCCTATAATTACTGAGCTAAATTTCTGTTGTCCTGTCTTCACATGACCATCCTGAGGGGTATATTACAGGAAGAAAAATATTTTGAAGTGAATGTTAGTGATAGTGATTATTAGTGATTAGTCTTATGGATATGCTAAATGCTAGAACTTGCATGGTGTCTCTTTCATATCCAAACTTTTCCAAGAAGCCACTTCTTACCCAGGTAAGTTTTTGTACCACTCAGAATTATAAATGTAAAAGTAATTCAGAGACTGTTTATTTTGTGAATGATTTATGTAGGTAAATATAACTTTTGAGTAGAATCCTGAATAATATCTAATTTTTGAGTTCATATTATTACTACTATTATCTCCTACATAAAAGACATTTACCACATTGTTTATGGAGATTCAATTCTTATACAGTAACCACAATATAAGTTCTATATTCAGTAAAGAAAAAAATAGTGTTTTGAGAAGAAAAATGGTTTTAGTCTTCTCTTTACCCAATTAACTGGACAAATAACTTTTTTGTGGGCATTATATTTTGTCTAAAATGCATTGTCTCATATTGTAATTTTTCCAACTGTTTTTTGAAAATAAAAGTAGTTTTCAATTCTCCAATGTCTCAACATTCTTTTTTTTTCTCTGCTAGCAGAGTACTTACTATAAATTTAAGTAAGATAAAATGGAGGCTAAAGTACTGCTTTCACTATCTTGTTGCTCTGTTTTCTTGGGGAAGTCTAATATTTTTTTTTCCAGTACATGGAATATGCTGGAGAATGGCAAGTGGCTTCCAGAACAATTCAGTAATGCTGTTAAGACTTACTGGGGAATCTCAATGTACTGTCTGAAATCTAGTTCCTTGGACTAAATCATTTCTAAGGTTACTTCTGATTCTGGTTCTAACATGTCATTGTTGAATAAATATTAATTTAAAAGATCAGCAATAACTCATTTTCACAGTAATGTTAAAGCAACATTTTTGTTAGGCACAGGAATTGTGAGCCCCTCCTAGCCATTGTTAACCAGCTAAGAGATTAGCTAAACAAGAATTTTAAAATTTGTTATGTTGACACTTTCAGTCCACATACATTTTTGTCCTTTAAAAAGGTGCTATATTTATTCTCCCTAACAGCACTTATGCTATCTCATTTAGGAAATTTGAAAGACATGCTCAGTTGTTGGCTCCTAATATTAGAAGATAAGTAGATTCAAGAGAAGATTTTTTAGTTTTAACATCTTTCATATTTTGGAGTTATAATTGTTTCCCAATGTATTCATCAGAGGTGTGCTGGAAACAAAAAGCCCTTAAAAAAGGACAAACCCTGAAAACATGTCTACTTTAAGGAGGAGCTTAATTAAACTAACCTTGTTAAATTGTCAGAAAGACAAATGAGGCATATTTTTCAGTTTGTCATAAATTGTTCTGGGAGGGAATTTGTGAAAATGCTTTACGGTAAGCTCTCTGACCACATATAACATCTGGAGATTTCAAAGCTTTTTATACTTTATCTACTATCCTTTTAAGGTGGGGAGACGGATGCTGTGAGAAACAGAATAGCTATTATTACATAGTTAAGTTTGGTAGAGGTAGAAATGGCCTTATTTTCCTTCTAGTGCAATTTTCTGAATGTCCCTTGGTACCTACACTTGGTACTGGCTACAGTTATGTACAGGTACATAAAGTATTTCTCATGACCTTGCTTTCCAGTTGCAATTCCACAGCTCTGTAAGTATGTCTTTTAGCCATTCATTCTTCACTCATCCCACCTAGTGGATTTGCAGTGTATTGTGTATCACTTTTGTACCAATAGACTGTATTTTTAAAAATTTTTTTAGTTGTTGATAGATGTTTATTTTATTTTTTTTATATGCAGGGCTGAGAATTGAACCCACTACCTCTCACATGGCCAGGCAAGTGTGCTACCGCAGAGCCACAGCCTCAGCCCCTAGACTGTATGTTTTTATCAGAAGTATACAAGTTTGGTGTGATGTTTGTTCCACTTTTTGTCATCTTCCCAGAAGGCCAACACAGTAGCAAGCTTGGCACATTTTCCCATTTCCTCATGGAAAATTTTGCCAATTGAAAAGTTTGGTTGAGCAGCAGAATTCAATTCTACCACCTGACAGGATTTACCGGATGCAGGCTTATGCTGCTACCCACATTTTTTATGCTTACATTAAGCCTCTGATCTGTCTCTAAGCTGCAAAGTGGTGCATGGTATGTATACTTGTGTACTCCAAGAGCACAGTCATTTGCATATACTAGATGTTGGATAAAAGGCACCATACTTTCAGTCTGCTGGAAGTTATCTGGATAGCAAATATAATGGGGGGGGGGAGTTGTTTCGTTTTGTAGCTTTGGTTTTTCTCTGAGTGTGGCAATGCAAAGGAGTTTGAATAAGTATGAACCTACTGGATAAACTTGGAATATTTACTCATAAATAACCACCCCATCATGGCATGATTTTAAAAGCATACTTTGTGTAATGCTTCACAGTTGCCCTATTCTTCTGAGGTATTATCTCTGTTTTACTAAGGAAGCTGTCATTTTTTTTTTTTTTTTTTTTTGAAGCTAGGCAGGAAATCTGTTTATAAGACTTCAAATTCAGAGACAGAAAGTAGAATGGTGGAAGCTGTCATTGATCAGTTGAAGAAACTTAGTGAAACTCACATGCTTAACAACGCAAAATTTTAAGTCGATTGCCTCCGAAACCCTGCTGTACTATTTTGTCAAAAACAGAACTGAGATTAAAGCCCAGGCAGTGCAATCCCCCAAGTACACAATGTTTTTTCTTCTTTGATTCCTTATAAAATAAGGAAGCTGCTCTTTAATTGAAAAATATTGACTAGGTAATATAGTCATTGAAAGGAATGAGAAAACCAGAGACAGGCAAGCGAGAAATGAAGGATGGAGACCAGGCAGAGATCCACATGAAAGTTTATTTGTCAAAGCTGACAAAGGCCATCTCACAATAAAGAGAGAGGCCCCAAGATATTCGGGTGTTCAGGTTTTATGGGGTAGGTTCTAGAGTTGTAGTGGTGACTCTATGGGATAGGCTGTGTGTGGGGGGGGGGCTGGGGGTGGGGGTTTGTGTCAGAGCTAGGTGGCATGGAATAGCATGGAATTTGCTTAGGGTTATGGTACCATGGAATAGGTCACTAATGGGGGTGGGGGGGAGTTCCAGTAAGAGGAAGTACAGGAAAGAGAAACTTATAAGATGGCAGTTAACATTTAAGGTGGCTGCTCATATGTTAAATCAAGACCCTATAGTCATGTGGTTCAAAATTCAAAGGACATGAAAATCCAGACAATGAAGAGTTTTTCCTGCCCTTGTCCTTCAGACATCTAGTTCCTATACCTGTGAGCATTCACTACTACTATGTGTTCTCCCAGAGATACTTTGTGCATATGAAAGCAAACACATCCACCCTTTTTACGCAAATAGAAACATAGACTATGTATTATGCTTAACCTTGCTATTGCACTAAATATATTTTGGAGATTGTTTAGTAGTCCATTAAGGACCTTGCTTCCTTTTAATTTTTGCATAGTTTGTTGTTGAATAAATATCATTTCATGGATATCTGTTTCCAGTATTTTGCTATAAACTGTCACAAAAATAATGCATATGTTTTAAGACATAATATGTTGATATTATAAGTACTGAATTACTGCTTTAAAGGAAATGTGCAAACGTGGAATATATCTTTAAAACATAAAGGGAATGTGCAGTTGAATTTCACTAGTATTCTTCAAAGAGGTTTTTACTTACCAGCAATGTATTGGAGTGTCTATTTCCCATCAGTCTCAACAAAACAAATATGTTGTCAAAGTTTTGTATCCTTCCCAATCTGGTATGTGCAATACATTATTTTTAATTTACTTTCAAAACATAAACTTTAGGTTTTTAGGACAGTTTTAAATTTGCATAAAAGACACATATTACAGTGTTCCATATGCCTCCACTCAGTTGCCCTTAATGTTAACATCTTACATAACTTTGGTACATTTGTCACTACTACAGAAACTTATTATTAATAGAGTGCATAGTTTATTTATATCAACTTAGTTTTTATCTAGTGTTCTCTTTTTTAATATTTACTTTTTAGTTGTACACAATACCTTAATTTTGTTTATTTACTTTTATGTGATGCTGAGGATCGAACCCAGGGCCTCACACGTACTAGGCGAGCGCTCTACCGCTAAGCCACAACCCCAGCCCTCTAGTGTTATCTTTTTGTTCCAGGATCTTATCCAGGACACCACATTACATTTAGTTAATCATGTCTCCCTGGGTTTCTCGTGGCTGTGACAGACTCTCAGACTTTCCTTGTTTTTGATGATGACCTTGATAGTTTGGGGGATTACTAATAGTGTAGTTTGAAATTTCCATCTCACTTGTAAGTAAATATCTTTTTTTTACATACATGATAATAATGGAATGCCTTACACTCATTATTACCCATTTACAGCACAATTTTTCGTAACTTTGTATATAAAGTATGTTTACGCCAAAATTATGCCATTATATATATATAATATATATATATTATATATATATAATATATATATATAATATATATAATATATATAATATATTATATATATATATATTCCTTTTTTGCATTGCAATTCTTAATACACATATATACCACAATTTTTCATATCTCTTTGTATATAAGGTATGTTGACACAAAATTCAAATCTTCATACATATATTTTGTATAATGATGACCATCACGTTCCCCAATCCTTGCTTTTCACATACTTAAGGATGTACATTTCCTTTTGGGGACTAAGAGTCCATGCTTTTAACCACCTCTTTCTTGATTCATAATAATTACCAATAAATCATTCAAGAGCTTGAGTACACAATTTCTGACTTCAAATTGAGAGAACTTAGAATTCCCTCTTACAAATACAAGAGGATAATTAATGCAAGCAATTTTTTCAGACTTTACCTTCATGGTTACAATACAGAGGATTGACTAGACGGTTCGTTGGAAACAGAGGTAGGCCATATAAAACCTTGAAAGGGAAGCAGTGTTGCCAGCCATGGTGGTGGAAGCCTATGATCCCAGTGGCTTGAGAGGTTGAGGCAAGAGGATGACAAATTCAAGGCCAGCGTCAGGAATTTTGCAAGGCCCTAGTCAATTTAGAGACCCTGTCTCAAAACAAAAGGGCTGGGGATGTGGCTCAGTGGTTAAACACCCCTTGGTTCAATCCCCGGTACCAAAAAAAAAAAAAAAAAGTAATGTTGAAAGAGTCAAGAAGTCCTAGCTGACTCCCAGGTTTATGAGATGTATATTTGGGGTGTTATCTTTAACTTAAATAGACCAGTCACTGGAAACCTACTTTCTGTCTCCATTTCTATAAGGCTCTGTGCTACTACAACTCCCAGAGGCCCACGCTCCACCACAATCCCCTTCGAGTCTGCCGCGCAGAGTTCTGGGACATGAGGTCCCTGACCTATTTGTCCAAGTTAGTAATAAAGGCCTGTGGAAACATGAAGAGGTAAGGGCTTGTCGGAGTTGCCAGAGACAAGCGGAGCTCCTTTTTTTTTTGCTTTGAAAATGGCTTTTGTTACTTTGTGTCACAATTTTGGGAAGCGGTGTAGTGTGAACGGGAAGACAAAGGTGAAGGGAGGAGGGAAGAAGGGCTGGTTGGGTCAGCTGGCGAAGTTCGGGAAGGTCCGCGACCAGGGTGGTTTCGGTAGGAATGCCTTCCCGGCTTAGGCCCCAAGAGCTGGCTGGGTGCTGCGGATACTTTCTGTTTCAGACAGACCCACCCAGGCAAAAGGGTGCGGGGTGACAATTCTCAGCGCCAGGGATACCCAAGGCGGCTCCTCCCTGGCCCGCCATACCTCCGCCTCATGAGCCCAGGGGTGCTCAGGGTGGATGCATTTATTTGCACTGTCTGGGTGTTGAAGGATACTTGCTGAAACCATGTAGCATTTTCAAAGGTTACAGTAAGAGATTGATACTTTCTTTCTCCAAATTTGAAAGGAAAGCCCAAATGGGCTGGATGTGTTATAGGAAAAGAAAGGCATTGCTGCGCTCAGTTCCCCCTACTGGTTCTTCAGTAAATGAACCTTGGTGGTCATTGTTGAGAACCTGTGCCTCATTATTTTGACAGAACAAAGACTTTTAAAAGGATCCTCATTAAATTACTTTGATATTGACTCTGCAAGAGTGATCATGCAGGAATAGTTCTTCTGCACCCTCGGTTCCTTTTTCTTTTTTTAAATATTTATTTTATTATTATTATTATTATTATTATTATTATTATTATTATGTGTGTGGGGGGGTGTTTGTGTGTGTTTTACTGGGGTTTGAAGCTAGGGCCTTGAGCATGCTAGGCAAGCACTCTGTCACTGAGCTACATCCCCAGCCCTTCTAATTTTATTTCCAGACATGGTCTGGCTAAATTGCTGAGGCTGGACTGGAACTTGGAATCATTCTGCCTCAGCCTCCCCGAATAGCTGGAATTTCCTTGCATCTTTGAAGAAACTGGTTCTCATTTTCCCTGTCTTTTAAATTATTCAATGATATATCTCATACGTGCAAAATAATGTTTATTTATTTAAAGAATAACCATAAAGGCTTGTATCAACTACCAGTTTAAGAAATAGGATATTATTAGTACCTTAGAAGTTCTTTGTGTCCCCTTCCTGATTTTTTCTGCTCTCATTCTTTCTTCCCCCATGAGATGACTGATATCCAGAATGTTATATTAATTTATTCCCTTGTTGTTTTTTTAAAGATTTTTCACATATGAATTTAGCCCTAAACAGTTTATACATAGTACCAGGGGCAAAGCTTTCTTTCTTAGAGACACATCTGCAAAACAAGAAAAAAAGGGAATAAGATCATCTTCAGGCTACCACAATTCAGAGGAATTGTACCATTATGAGTCACAATAAAAGTCATTGGCAATTTCTCACATTTTGTTACTAGCCTGAAGCACAACTGCAATTTTCATAGTTTTTACCCATTTTCAACTTTACACAAATGGACACATATTGTATGAATTTTTTCTGTGACTTGTTTATTTTAACTCAACATTTCTTTTTGAGATTCATGTGTGTTGATATATTTAGCTATGATTTATTCATTTGAAAAAAAGACCTTTAAACTTAGCAAGAACTTTGGGAATTCTAAATAATCAACAAAAATTGTGATTTTTTAATTGATTTTATTTTTTAAATTCACAACAGTGGAATGCATTACAATTATTATTATTACACATATAGAGCAAAATTTTTCTTATCTCTGTATATAAAGGATGTTCACACAAATTCATGTCTTCATACATGTACTTTGGATAATGTCCATCACATTCCACCATCATTGCTAACCCCCTGTCCCCTCTCTTCCCCTTCCACCCCTCTGCCCTGTCTAGAGTTCATCTGTTCCTCCCATGCTACCCCTCCTTCCCCTACTATGAGTCAGTCACCTTATATCAGAGAAAACATTCAGCATTTGTTTTTTGGGAATTGGCTAACTTCACTTAGCATTATCTTCTCCAGATCCATTCATTTACCTGCAAATGCCATGATTTTATTCTCTTTTATTGCTGAGTACTATTCCATTGTGTATATATGCCACTTTTTTTTATCCATTCATCTACTGGAGGGCATCTAGGTTGGTTCCACAGTTTAGCTACTGTGAATTGTGCTGCTATAAACATTGATGTGGCTGTGTCCATGTAGTATGCTGTTTTTAAGCCCTTTGGGTATAGACTGAGGAGAGGGATAGCTGTGTCAAAAGGTGATTCCATTCCCAGTTTTCCAAGGAATCACCATACTTCTCTCCATATTGGCTGCACCAATTTGCAGTCTCATCAGCAATGTATGAGTGTGCCTTTTCCCCCCACATCCTCACCAACACTTATTGTTGTTTATCTTCTTAATAGCTGCCGTTCTGACTGGAGTGAGATGAAGTCTTGGAGTAGTTTTGATTTGCATTTCTCTAATTGCTAGAGATGATGAGCATTTTTTTCATATATTTGTTGATTGATTGTAAATCTTCTTCTGAGAAGTGTCTGTTCAGGTCCTTGGCCCATTTAGTGATTAGGTTATTGGTTTTTTGGTGTTTAATTTTTTGAGTTCTTTATATACCCTAAAGATTAGTGTTCTATCTGATGTGTGAGGAGTAAAAAATTGCTCCCCAGATGTAGGCTCTCTATTCACCTCACAGATTTTTTTTTTTTTCTGAGAAGAAACTTTTTAGTTTGAGTCCATCCCATTTATTGATTCTTGGTTTTAATTCTTGCGCTATAGGAGTCTTATTAAGGAAGTTGGGGCCTAATCCCACATGATGAAGATTAGGGCCTAGTTTTTCTTCTATTAGATGAAGAGTCTCTGGTTTTATTCCTAGGTCCTTGATCCATTTTGAGTTGAGTTTTGTGCATGGTAAGAGATAGGGATTTAATTTCATTTTGTTGCATATAGATTTCCAGTTTTCCCAGCACCATTTGTTGAAGAGACTCTCTTTTCTCCAATGCATGTTTTTGGCTCCTTTGTCTAATATAAGATAATTGTAATTTTGTGGGTTAGTCTCTGTGTCCTCTATTTTGTACCACTGGTCTACCAGTCTGTTTTGGTATCAATACCGTGCTGTTTTTGTTACTGTTGCTCTGTAGTATAGTTTAAGGTCTGGTATAGTGATGCCACCTGCTTCACTCTTCCTGCTAAGGATTGCTTTACCTATTCTGGGTCTCTTATTTTTCCAGATGAATTTCATGATTGCTTTTTCTATTTCTATGTGATTTTAAAGGATTTTTTTAAAAAAGTGTTGTATCTAAAAATATTTTAGAATTTTCCAAAATAGGGCCAAGTCTTTCTTGGATTTTGCTTATAATTATAGGGTTTTTCCCTAGATTTTATTATATCTTCGCTAGGAAAGGGCGATTTTATAAGAAAGACACTTAAAATTTTAAAATTTATTTTCCTCATGGACTTAACTCACTTTTTGTGTTCAGTTTTTTATAATCAATTGTTGCATGCTTAAATAGTCCTATTATATTTTTACATTCTAATAAGAGCTTTCACATATTTAAGGTTAGTTAGCTCATGTTAGTCATTATCTAGATGTTTGCATAGTGATGCCTAGGCTATAAAATATTATGATCCTCTTTATATTTATTTTCAAACTTTCTCCTTTAGACATCTTCTCTCATAGCTCATCTTCTCCACACAGATGACTCCAGATTTCCATGTTCAACCTTAGAATCTCCTCTATGAAACCTTTCTTTCAGCCAATCACTTATGCTGTTACCTATACCTCAGTGTATTCAGAGCATTCCTGATACTTCATTGCTGGTGTTTGAATTATAATAGATAGTTGACTCAACATGATTGCAATAATATTTCCCCAAGCCATTGACTCCATCTGGACCTTCTTTTCTTCGTTGATACCGTCATTGTGTTTGTAACATGGTTTGAATTTTGGGGATTATCTTTGACATCCTTACCCTTCCCTGCTTCAAAGGCCTCTCTCATCTAACCATTCTATTTCATTTCTACTATTATCACTTTGTTTTGGGTCTTCATCACCTCATACTTCAATGGTTAATTATTTCTTCAGGTTTCTTTCCTTCTAATGTATATGGCATATTATAACCACATTCATCTTCCTAAACCATTGCTTGCATTATGTCACCTAATTGCCTGATAAATTACTTTTTAATGCCTACACATTAATGTCCAGGCTGTTTAGTTGGTTTATGTAAGGTCATTCACAGTACAAATTGAAATTTAAATTGAAATTCCAGTTATCCTCCAGTATGTATTTCTGTCTCTTCACACTTGTTTTCTAGTTATCCTTTTCATTACAACCAGTATTTCAAATGCCACTTTAAAAATACCTTTCTGAAGATTTCACTTACCACCCTAGCTTCCAACTAATCTTCTATGATCTCTTAATAATTTGACATACTGTGCTCTATATCATTATTAATTCATATTTTTTTCTGTTCCCTCAAGCACATGCACACAACACAAACATATATTTCTTCTTCCTAACTAGATTATAAGCTTCTTGATGCTAGATACTGTTATCAATATCTTTGAGTTACATTAATACCTAGCACAATGCCTTCTGTGTGAGTAGGTATTTAGTAAATGTTTGTAGAATGAATGATGAAGTACAATGGATGATTAAAGAAGTTTCTGAACAAATGGAGTCACTAATTAATGATAGATAATATAGGTATGGAATATATATTCAATTCCCTATCTCTTCTTTTTTCTGTATGTATTGGTATGTCTCCTCCAGGGTAAACAGCTGTGTGAAGAGTGATGAGCATGTCCTGGAGGAACTGGAAACAGAAGGGGAGAGGCAGCTGAAAAGCCTCCTTCAACATCAACTTGATACTTCTGTCTCCATTGAAGAGTAAGTATTGATTTCTAAACAGGTAGAGTATCCTAGACCCTCACTTCAAAGTGACAGATCCCTCTTAAAGCCTGAAGGGAACACTGCACTTTTTCTCTCCCACTTTCTTTAGCAGACTTCTATGCATCAATAAATGTTTATATATATATATATATATATATACACACACACATATATATATACATATATATGTATATATATATATATATATATCTATATATCTATATATGTGTGTGTGTGTGTGTATTAATCAAAATTAATCTTTTTCTTCCTGAAGGAAGCTTCCATATCCACCAAGTCTGAGCCAGTACCTTTTCTATGCCCTCCTACACCCTGTATTTCTTCCACCATAGCATTTATATCTCGATACTGTCATTGCCTCTTTATTTTCCTATCAGTATTCTTTCACAAAACAGGAGCTATTTTCATCTCTTTGTCTCTCTCTCTCTTTTTTTTTTTTTTTTTTTTGCTATTAAATCCTCAGTACACAGCACACATCTGATACATAGAAGGACTCAGTAAATGTTCATTAATTTAGTCATTGATTAGTTCTGGATGAAGGGACTGTTGATGGAGTTCCATTTTGTTGCAGTTGTGCTTCAGGCTAGTAACAGAATGTGAGAAATTGCCAATGACTTTTATTGTGACTCTTATAATGGTACAATTCCTGTGAATTGTGGTAGCCTGAAGATGATCTTACTCCCTTTTTTTCTTGTTTTGCAGATGTGTCTCTAAGAAAGAGAGCTTTGCCCCTGGTACTATGTACAAACCTTTTGGAAAGGAAGCAGCTGGAACTATGACTTTGTCCCAGTTCCAGACACTACATGAAAAGGACCAAGAAACTGCTTCTCTCAGGGAACTAGGACTCAATGAAACAGAAATCTTAATCTGGAAGAGCCATGTTTCAGGTGAAAAGGTAAGTGGGTTATTGTTTTTCATGAGAATAAAAAGCAGGATCTGTTCATTTTGGCATTGGGGAGTTTTGCATTTTTAGTTCCACAAAACTGAGCTTTGTGTCTGAATCTTCTTTGTTTTTTAGGATAGGGACATTGGTGAAAGAGGACCTGGTTTTTTTTTTTGTTTGTTTTGTTTTGTTTTTGTTTTTTTAACTTCTTAGCTAACACTTTAAATAAACACTTTCAATTTCTGTGTCCTGATCATCTTTTTCTTACTTGAAGCACCAGATCATTACTTTCAGGTGTGTCCTCTATGATTTGTCATTTCATTTCCCTGGTTTCAGAGGACAAGGCTGAGGGCAACTCCTGAAGCAATACAGAACCGTCTTCAAGATATTGAAGAAAGGATCTCTGAGCGTCAGCGTATTCTTCGCCTGCCACAGAGATTTTCAAAGAGCAAACAGCTGACTCGGCGAGAAATGGAAATAGAAAAGTCTTTATTTCAGGGAGCTGATCGTCACTCCTTTCTTAAGGCTCTTTATTATCAAGGTATGTGAGCTTCACTGACTTATATATATTCTTTCACTGACAGAAAGATTTAACATGAGTCATTAGATATAAAGAATTAGTGAAGGGAGTAGGGGAAAGACAGGCTATTACTACTCTTGAATGTATGGTCCCATGAAAGAGACAAATATCTGCAGTTAGTTGCATGACAACATGGAAATTAGGAAATTATTATATAGACTTGAATCAAATTCTGAGGAAACACAGAAAATAGAGCACCTAAGTCCAGGTGGGGGAGTCAGAAGTTGGCACTTGTACTGTCTTGATGGATCAACAGGCATTTTTCAGGTAAAGGGGAAAGAGCGTTACAAGATAGTGAATAGGAACAGGATTGTTGAAGGGACCTGGTATGTCTGGGGAACAATGAAAAGTTCAGTGTGGCAAGGGTACAGGAAGTGTCAGGGAATGACAAGGGATGACACAGAAAAGTCAGGCAAGGCTAGGTAGGGTAGTTAGGCTGAAATATAAATTAACATTATACATATATATGTGTGTGTATTAATCAGAATTAGTTTAATGGATTGATTTTACTAGGCACTGTGGGAGGTGCACAGAAACTTAAGAAATAATTCTTGACCTTGTGCCAAGTACAATCTGGTTGGAAATATAAATGTATACCATTTAGTAAAAATGCAAGATACAGTTGCTAAGTGCTATGGGAGTTCAGAGTTTTATTGCTGTGAATGAAGAATGCCTTTCAGAGGAGGTAAGATTCAATTTTTTTAATACTACCTATTTAGAAAGGAGAAGGAATGACATTTGCAGAAGTTGATGTGAGCACTATTGACTGGGAGAGTTATAAGAGGCAAAGTTGGAAATATAACTAATAATATGGGGCTTTATTTGGTTGGTAGTTTATAGCTATATAGATTTCATTTTTAGCTAATCTGAATATAGTTAGAAGTTTTCAAGTCAGGAGTAAAATGTTAAAAGCCAGATGGTAGCCAGAAAATTAGGACTTGATAAGGAAGTACTAGAAGCAGAGAGAATGGTTAGGAGGGATTGTAGTCTTTGAAACATGAAGATTTGGACTAGATTGGTGACAGTGGAATTGGAAAGACAGGTAGATTTAATTATAAGATACATTACATTGATAGACCTTATTGACTGAAGATGAAGGAAGAAGGTCAATGGAAGGGAATATGTCAAAGATAACCCAGATGTTTCAAGGCTGTGTGACTTAACAATTGTCAAAACCAAGAATGCTTTTATGGGGAAATTTTGAGGAAAGATGATGAATTTGACTTAAATGTGTTGAAATTTTGAAAATGGCAGGATCATTGCTTGCAGATATCAAGGAGACAGAAATAAAGCAGTAAAACTCAGGAAAGAGGTCAGAAGTAGATATGTAGAATTGGGAATCGTTTCTGCTTCAGTCATGTTAAAATCATGAGAATGATTAAATGCTATGTTAGATAGACTGTAGACATGGCAGAGCAGTGATGAAGGAAGGAATGAAAAATGAACAGTTGCCTTTTGTGGAGAGAGATTATGGCATACTGATTATAAACATAGGCTCTGGAGGCAAACTGCCTGGGAAAATCCTGGCTCCCCCACTTATTAGCTATGAGATGCTAGGCAAGTTACCTCTGTAGGCTTCAGTTTCTTCATCAGTAAAGTGAGAATATTAATAGTAGTTATATTACAGGGTTGTTAGGATTAAGTGAGGTAATACATGTAAATCACTTAGAGCAGTACCTGGATTTGGGTGGGGGTTGGGGGGGGATTTATGAATCTGTTCTGTTTTCTATCTTTGAAACTCCTTGCTTTAAACCTTCACAGCATACCACAAAAAGCCAAGTGCAGACAAGTACATGACCTCAATGAAGAGGAAGATAAAATTAGGCACAAAAGGCAAGTCGAGAGTTTTCTTATAGTGTTAGATTTAGGAATGTAACCTAGGGTCCCAGACTTCTAAGTTGAACACCTATTTAATTCCATATTCAGTATATAACAATGATCAGTATGTAACAATGATCCAGAGAGAACATATTATCCTTATATGAAATATTAAAGAGAAGAATTAGTAGAAGTTGTGAAACTTTTACATTTAGTGCTGTTTTAATCTCTATACCTTTAAGTTATTATAGCAGACATAAATTGACCTTACTGATTTTTAGATCCCATTTCACAAATAATTTTTAATATTTTATTAATTAGTAAAGTATGAATATTGATGATGATGATTATGATATAATATTTAATATTTTGTTTTTGAAATGAATTTGCAATAAAATTGCATGGGGCTTTTTTGGTGTATAGTTCTATGAATTGTTAATCATGTAGATTCATGTAACCACCACCAAAGTTAGGAGAGAGAACAGCTCCATCACAATGAAAAACTACCTCATACTATTTCTTTCTAGTCACTCCCAACCCCCACCCATAATTCCTGGCAATCACTGATCTGTTCTCCATCACTTTAGGTGTATCTTTTAGAGACTGTCACATAAATGAAATCATGTAATATGTAACTGTGAGACTGGCTTCTTTCACTAAGCATAATATCTTTGAGACTCATTCAAGTTGTTGTATGTATTAACAGTTCATTCATTTTGTGGAATCATATTTCACTGTCTGAATATTCCAAAGTTTCTTTGTCCATTCACCCATTGAAGTGAGTTTGGGTTGTTTCCAGGTATGCTGGTTATGAATAATACTGATATAAACACTTTTGTACAGGTTTTTGTGTGAACATAAGTTTTTATTTCTCTAAGGTAAATATCTAGAAGTGGGATTACTGGGTCATATGGTAAGTGTACATTTAACTTTATATGAAATTGCCAAACCATTCTCTAGAGTGGCTGTACCATTTTGCATTCCCACCAACAATGTATGAGAGTTCTGGTTGCTCTACATCTTTGTCAGCACTTGGTATTGTCAGTATTTATTTTAGTTGTTCTGAGAGGTGTGAAGTGGTACCTCATTGTTGTTTTAAGTTGCATCTTCTTAATGGCTAATGTTGTTAAATATCTTTTCATGTGCTTATTTGCCATATTTATATCCCATTTGCTAATGTATCTGTTTGAATCTTTGGCCATTTTGTCATTAGGTTGTTTATTTTCTTCCTCATGACTTTTGAGAGTTCTTTGTATATTCTAAGCAGTCTTCTATTGGATATGTGATTTATATTTTCTCCCAGTCTATAGCTTGCTTTTTCATTCTCTTAACAGTGTCTTTTATAGAATGAATTTTTGTTCTTACTGTGATAAAAATATATGTAACAAAGTTTACAATTTTAACCATTTTTAAGTGTATAGTTCTGTGGTATTAAATATATTCCCATTTTTCTGTAACTATCACTACCATTTATCTCCAGAACTTTTTAACTCTGTACTCATTAAATACTACCTTCCTTATTTTCCCCTTCCCCAGTTTCAGGCAACCACCATTCTACTTTCTGTCGCTATGAATTTGACTAATTTCGGTACCTCATATAAGTAGAAGCACATAGTATTTGTCCTTTGTGACTGGGTTACTTTACTTAGAATAAGTCTTCAAGGTTTTTTGTTTTTTTTTTTATGTTGTAGCATGTGTCAGAATTTCCTTCCTTTTTAAGGCAGAAGAAAATTCCATTGTATGTATGTACCACTTTTTAGAAATCTCTTTAATTGTGAGTGGCACTTAGGTTACTTCCATGTTTTAGCTATTGTGAATAATGCTTCTATGAACATCATTATACATGTTTGAGTATTTACTTTTTTTTTTGTACCTGGGGATGAGCCACATCCACAGCTCTTTTTATTTTTTTTTATTTTGACAAAGGACCTCACCAAATTGCTGAGGCTGACTCTGAATTTGGGATCCTCTGGCCTCAGCCTCCCAAGTTGCTGGGATTACAGGCATGTACCATCATGACTGGCTTCCTTTCTTTTTTATATATACTCGGAAGTGTAATTACAGGATTATATGGTAATTCTACATTTATTTTTTGAGGGACCATCATATCATTTTCAATAGACATTGTGACACTTTACATTCCTACCAGCAATGCACAAGGGTTTCCATTTCTCTTCACCATCACTAATATGACTTGTTATTTTCTGTTTTCCTTTTTGGATAATAGTTAATGGGCATGAAGTGGTATCTCATTGTGGTTTTGGTTTTCACTTTCCTAATGATTCATACTGTTGAGCATCTTTCCATATACTCTTTAGCCAACTGTGTATCTTCTTTGAATAAATGTATGTTCAAGTCTCTTGGTTGATTTTAAATGAATTACTTCTTCATTTGTTGATGAAGTTATAGGAGTTCTATCTATATTCTAGTTACTAATTCCTTATCAGATATATGATTTGCAAATACTTTTCCCTGCTTCTTGGGTTGCCTTTTTACTCTGTCAATGGTATTCCTTGATGCACAAAGTTTTAAATTTTGATGAAGTCCAATTCATCTATTTTTCTTTTGTTGTCTGTGCTTTTGGTGTTACATATAAGAAATTATTGGCAAATCCAATATCATGAAACTTTCACTATGTGTTATTTTCTGAGCTTCCACACTTTTAGCTATTTTACTTAGGTCTTTGATTCATTTCAAGGTTTTTTGTTCTTTGGGTATAATGTAAGTATCCAACTTAATTTTTTCTTGTCCATATCTTGTTTTCACAGTAACATTTTTTGAAAAGACTATTCTTTTCACACTGAATGATCTTGACACCCTGTTCAAAAATCATTTGACTATATGTATGAGAGTTTATATCTGGGATCTCTATTCCACTGGAATATATTTCTTTGTTATGCCAGTACCACACTATTTTAATTACTGTTGCTTAGTAGTAAGTTTTGAAATCAGGAAGAATGTAACTGCCAATTTTATTTTTTCTTTTTCAACATTATTTTGTCTGTTTGAGGTTCCCTTAAGATTCCATAAGAACTTTAGGGTAGATTTTATATTATTGTAATAAAAAAAGGGTCATTGAAATTTTGGTAGGAGGTATGAAAGTGTGAATAATTTGGGTTAGTATAAATATCTTAACTGTATCAAGTCTTCAATAGATTAACATGGGATGTTTTTTTATTATTTGCATCTTCTAATTTCTTTCAGCAACATTTTAGTTTTCAGTGTATAAGTTTTCTACCTCAGAGCAAATTTTTTTAACTCTTATAAAATCTAGTCTGTAGTTTCTTTCATGGATCATGCTGTATGTGTGGGTGGGTACGGATGTGTATGCATGTTAAGAACTCTGCCTCATACCTGTTTATGAAAAAGACCTTTTTCTATGTTTTCTTCTAACATTTTTATAGTTCTACATTTTACATTTAGATGTATAGTCCATTTTGATTTAATATTTTACATGTGAGGTTTTTATAAAATTCACTTATTTGCCTATCATTGTCCATTTGTTTCAGTACCAATTGTTAAAAAGAGTATTCTTTCTCTATTTACCTATCTTTGTATTTTTTTCAGAAATTAATTGGTCATATTTGTGTGTTAATATTTAATATAAATACAGGTGAAAAATAATTCCCCTCTGAAGAGCAGAAATGAGACAAGGATGTCTGCTCTTCCACTTCTCTTATTAAAGTTGTTTCTGACAGGTTTTGCCAGTTTTCTGATTGCTTTTTTGTGGGAAATTGTCATGGTCCCTATTCCATTCTCTATTTTCAGTGACATTATCTCTCTTACTGGCATCTGAATTTTGTGATTTGAATGTAGCCTAACTTATTAATTTTTTATGGCTTCTGTTTTGGTTTTGTAATGAAGATTCTTTCAATCCTAGGGTTGCACAGATGTTTTTCATGTGTTCTGAAAGATTATAGTTTTAGCTCATACATTTATGTCTATGAACCATTTTAAAAATGTTTTTAGATGTAGATGGACACAATAACCTTATTTTATTTATGTGGTACTGAGGATCAATCCCCAGTGCCTCACACATGCTAGGCAAGCCCTCTGCCACTGAGCCACAACCCCAGCCCTTATGAACCATTTTAAATTAATTTTTTGCATATAATGTAGGTTAGGGTTACATTAAGTTCTCTCTACATATAATTTTTCTGTGTATAAAATTATGTTGGGGCTGGGGCTATGGCTCAGCAGTAGTGCACTTGCCTGGCATTTGTGAGGCACTGGGTTTGATTCTTAGCACCGGGTATAAACAAATAAAGGTCTATCAACAACTAAAAAAAAATTATGTGTGTATATACATATGTGTGTATAGAGTATATATATACACATACATATATATTATACATGTATGCATATATATGTATAAAATTGTCCTAGTACTTTTATATGAAAAGACTATCCTTTTCCTTTGAATTGTCTTGACACCTTCATGTAAAATCAATTAACCAAGAGTATAAGGCTTTTAAGTTGTTTTTCTTTCTCTTTATTTTCAGCAATTTGATTGTGCCATGTCTGGATGTAAGTTCTTTATTTCAAATTCTGGACTTTTATTCTTTCTACCTGCTACTTTTTAACTTTTCACAGTCTTCAAACATATCAAACATTCTCTCCATGTTTTATTAGTCTATTCAGTGGGAGAGATAGGGTGAAGTATTTATATTTTAACATGCCCAGAAACAGCAGTCCTAATAGCTAATATTCATGCCAGTCCTTGTTCTAAGCATAACTCCAAATTAATGTGTTTAACTTTACAACAACCCCATGAGATATTGGCAGTATTATACCCATTTTACAGACTAAAAATTTGAACTTCAAAGGAGGATAAGTAACTTTTCAACATCAGTTTTTAAGTGACCATGCCAAGACAAATTCATGATCTTATTACATCTTGACCACAGCACTTGCATATGTAATTTGAAAAGATTTATTGGTTTATTAAATCTGGCTTTAATATATCTTAAAACAGACTTTTTTTTTCAAATTATAGTGTCTCATTTTCTAACTTC